CTCTCTCTCTCTCTCTCTCTCTCTCTCTCTCTCTCTCTCTCTCTCTCTCTCTCTCTCTCTGTGTGTGTGTGTGTGTGTGTGTATACAGACACACCCCTTAAAAAAAAGAAAAAAAAGAAAAATTGGTCGCATGATCCGCACATCACTAATTTGCGCATGGCGCATGGCGCACGCGCACCGCACGGCGCAACGCAGAAGTGCGCCGCAAGTATGTTCGATACCTATCCAAAGATTCCAAACAGCCTACCGGGTCCATGCCACGGTACCATGAGTATCTTCCGTATCGCAAATAGAAAATAGCAGGTCAAAGGTTCGATACCTGTCCAAACAGAAACCAATTGCCGAATGCGTCACTAAGCCCTGTCCAAAAAGACTCCAAATGAAATCCTTAATAAACGATTTATGTCGAAGTAAAAACAAAGCAATAAAGTACTAATCAATGGAGAGTCGTGGAGACACACAAACCAAGACTCAAACGATACCCTGTCGAAGTAAGAACAAAGTAGTAAAGTAGTAATCTATGGAGACCCACAAATCGAAAGAACAGAAAAAAGTTCAAAAAACAACTGTAAGCGTCATAATTGTCCAATGCCAACACCTCACAAGAGATGTCGGACCACGAGTCGCCAGATGCTGCGTCTCGAAGAAGTCCGTTGGAAAGTCTTTAAGTGCCAATTCGAGTTGCAGGGTCAGCACCCTATGCGCGATCTCCGATCTAATCGACGTATTACGGTCAATCCGATTCGTCTAGTAGAGGTCGCTGGTTTTCAAAAAAAAAAAAAAAAAAAAAAGAAAAAAAAAAGGCACAATTCCCGATTTGTGGTTTGCATGTACTTGAAGTTTCCCTTTTTCTTTTTTGAGCTTGCACAACACTTCTCTTGACACTTAATTTTTTCTCTTGCAGACAGGGCTCTTTGCGTTTTGCCTGAGTGCAGTCTTAGACGATTTGACGACGACTATCACTTTAATATCTTTGCTGAGGAAACTCGTCCCCAACCCCGAGCAAAGGAAGTAAGTATGCAAGAAACCAATTCCTCTCTCTCAACCTGGCACAGCTTTGTTCCCTTCTCCTTATGTTTTCTCACTCGACCCCCCTCAGACTGCAGCTCATGTTTGATCATCTACCTCCATCTCGCCATCCGGACCCCGAGTCAAGGTTGTATCACAGCAAAGCTATGTTTGTTTCTCTCTCTCTCTCTCTCTCTCTCTCTCTCTCTCTCTCTCTCTCTCTCTCTCTCTCTCTCTCTC